ACTTAAACATATTAAGGTCAAGACAAAATGAGATTTATAGGGAAAACACATACAGAAAACAGCAGATTATATTAAGTTTGGCTTTATTGCATTAAGATTATTCCCTTATGTGATCCGATACATAAATCATAACACTGCAATTCCGTATCTTTATAGAGGCTGGCGTAAAAGGCAGACATATGCGGGCTTATATAAACAGGAATTTGGCAGATTCCACCGGATGATTCTTTGAAAACAGAAATACACATTAATTTAAGATTTACACACACCTGTAAATATAATAAATATTAATAAAAATGAGAAAAATGCATGTGCATAGATACTTAAATAGCCTATATTTTGATCAGGAGATGGCATTAATAACCCTACCACTTCAGTAATGGCAATAACAGTTAAGGAAGACTGCATACATACTGCATAGGACAAACAGACAAACAAGATAACATGTCATAACCTGCTGTACATATTATGTACATGTCCTTCGGAAAAGTCTCGTTTATCAACCTTGTGGTCAGTGTGGAAAACATTAGTGTTTGTCTTTGTGAAAATAACAATTAAAAATAAATAAAAATATAATCATAATCAGAGCAAACATCTTACAATGCAACTGGTAAAGGTACAATTCAGGACAAAATGCTAATAATGCTAACAGCAATGAAGGTGAATAACCATAAATTGGCGTTATACAAATGACATCATGCTTATTGGTGGTTATCTTCCACTCAATGTTAGTTAAATTAGCATTCTTGGAAGTTACCTACTTCATAACAACTGCATAAGAAATGCATAAACACTGAGAAACATTAAAAAAGCAATATGTGAGAATTTCTGGACATTCACAAGATAATAAGATGTTTTATGAAGTAAATGACATCGTATTGATGTAAAGGCCTTCAAACTAAAGTCGTTCATGAAGCATCTTTTCCATGTAAATTTAGGTTAAGGGCCTTTACGTTGATACAGTGTCATTTGCTTCTTAAAACATCTTACGAAATTGTGTGAATAATGACAGAATCTCGTTAAACACTCAATCTTTGCTATTTAAATATGTTATTCAATGTTTACGCATGTGTCGTAATGGGCAATTCCACCACTTTTTCAAAAATTCGGAATAATTCAGTTGTTGAGATGTAAACAGAGTCATTCAGTGTGGGCTGACATGAAATGGTTCATTGTAGAGACTCTTTACAGTGGTGGTGATAGGAAACAGGGGTCACCAGGTCTACAGCACAAATATAACTAAATATTTAGTAAATAATATCTCATTTACTATGCAAAACCACCAGTGACCCTACATGTGCCTTCTGAGTTTTCATATGGAATGTTGATGATGGTAAAATAGTTATAAATCTGAAAAAATAAGTTTTCTTTGGGGACTTTTTGCCTCTTGAATGGGTTAAAATACATTTTAAGTCAAAACCTCATCACAAAGCTATCATAAAACAATGTGTCAGACATCAGGCAGCATATATCTAACCATGTCATGTAATATCTTTCTGTGAGGGAGTTTTCAGAGGCATTCAAGTCTTCAGACGTCTGGTTCCTATCACCACCACTGTGACCAATTTTGACTCTGCGAGTTTCTCTAGAATGGAGCATTTCACACCAAACCACTCTGAATGACTATGTTTATATCTCAACCATTTAATTGTGTAGAATTTTTGAAAAATTGGTGGAATTCCTCTTTAAGTAGGTAGCTTTAAAATAAAGCGTAGCTGATACACATAGTTCACACTAAGAAGTGCATCAGTATGTTTTCAGGCAGTTAAAAAGAGCTCCCAGAGGCACAGCACGCCTAGAGGGCATAAAGAGGACAAACAACTGGGGAAAAATGATCAAAACTGTCAAAAATTTTGATGTTCTTGCAAAAGCAGTGACATCACACAAGGCACATATATACCCAGAATTCCCTTTTCAGCACAGATCAGTGTGAACTTTACATACAAAAACACTCTTCAATATAAAAGTAATAAACCATAATGTACATAGCACCATCTCTGAAGTTAAGGCAGGTGTGGCCTTTTACTAAGAACACGAACAGTATTAATGGCTTTCGATTTCATTACTGTCAATGACTTAACACTATTCAACAATCAATTCCAATTTTAATTTTTCTACATCATTTCAACACCCCAGCTGTCCTTTACGTTGTATGAAAAATCCATGATGAATGGACCAATAGAAATGCGCTAAAATCACTTAGATCAAAATCTCTTTACATTGAGTTACACTGAAGCGCAAGAGTGTGTTTGCCCTCTCCTGTAAAGTTACTATTTTGGAGATACTTGTTTTTCTTCGGACAGTGACGAAATATTTTAGTGGTTGTATCACAGATTAGTTTTCAGCATGACTGATACAAATGATAGAAATGGTACAGGATTTTCTTCTCTCGATTCAAAACTCTCATAAGTAGCCAATGACCAATAACAGAATAAAAATACACAGAAGGAGCCGTACCCTGATAAATATATCACATACAAAATTAATAAGACAAATATTAACAGTAATTTTTGTCAGTAAAGAAGATACGCAAAAAAATCACAATGACAAAAAATATAAATCAAAAATAACAAGAAGCACAAACAAGCAAAGAATCTGTGAGGTATTTTGAAAATCAGAAAAATGAATTCAACAAAATAAAAACATATATTAAAAAACAGCAATTTACAGAGTTTTATATTTCTATATGGACTGGGAAGTGGAAAGGTTCTTGACTTATTTGATGTGAATTTACAATTTATGCAAAAGGTTGAACCTGTGAAATGACACGTTTTGTGGATTTTCTAAATAAAGATAAGTTAACACAGCCTCTACAGGGGACACAGTTAACTATGGCATTTTTCTGCAAATTTTAGTGCAAAATTTCTATTTATTTGCTGAATTTAACATACTGTAAAAAACACATTGTATAAAACATAAAATATAGAATGCACCGTTCTGCACAGGCCACAATTTATGTATTATTTTATTTTTCCTAAGAAGTAAAGTTCAGCAAATAAACAATAACCATGCATTAAAATGTGCATAAGTGAGTTCTCCGTAGAGGATTTGTTCACTTATTTTCACGTTAAAAATCAACAAACGTGTCATTTAGCCAAACTTATCTGTTCACAAATTACAATGTCATAGGCCCGCTTTGCAAAGACTTATCATACCTACATAAAAAAGCACTCAGATTTTTGAAACTTAATTTCCCGTCATTAGTCATAACCTTAGAAGTCATAAAACTATATGACCATGTAATACGCCGTATACAAAAAAGTATATACAAAAGTGTCCAGACAGCCCTTCTAATGAGGTTTAAGGTCACACGTTGCTGAAACAGGTGTTCGATTGTGCACACAGCATAATCTCCATAGAAAAGTGCTGTGAATAGAATGGGCCGCACATGAGCCTAAGGTCACCATGCCCAATGCCAGGTGTCACCTAAGCCCCCCAGCATTGGGCTGTGGAGCAGTGGAACTGTGTTCTCTGGAGTGATGGAGCTCCATTCATCCTTTGAGATGAGTTGGATCCAGAACTAATCATCAACATCAGTACCTGACCCCCAGTCAAAGTGCATGTTTTTGTTGATTTTCTAAGTGAAAATAAGTGAACACGTCCTCTACAGAGAACGTACTTAAATATGATATTAGTCTTCACATTTAAGGGCATACTTTCTATTTATTTGCTGAGTTTAATGTATTGGAAAAAAAATAAAACATGAAATATAAAATGTGCACAAAACCTCTACACAGGCCACATTTTGTGACTTATTTTTTTTTTACCAAATATGTTCAGTTCAGCAAATAAACAGTAAGAATGTTAGAAAATCAACAAAAATGTCATTTGAACATGGGCGTGCAAACTTGTGCACAACGCTGTGCAGTGTATCTCCTCACACACTGCCCTGTCACCTCCCCAGCGTAGACTCCCACTCTAAACCTGATCTCTAAACCCACAGCTGTCTCCTCTATTACTCCCAGCAGCTGGTTGCTGTAAGACATTCATGGCCAATGCTGAACACCGTCTCCTTTACCTGAAGCCAACTTTTCCTGACCCGCTGAAGTTGGAAATAAAGCTGAAAAAAGACGATGCGCTTCCTCTCCTGCTCTTAGGGGAGAACAGAGCTCGTCTCTTCAAAAAGCCCTTTAATGCATAACCTGACTGATCAGTAAAGCTGGAGCGTCTTCAGACTGCAGCAGAACCGCAAAGCTGCGTTCTCCTGCTCTCTCCTGCTTTGAGCTGTCATGTCTTCGCTTCCACAAGCCTGACGCTAAACTCCGGAGAGCTGTGGCTGCGGATGCGCGTCCTCTGCAAGTTCGCACTCTCACTGTTTCAGACAGTTTTACAGGAAATACAAGACGCATACTGACTCAAAGGGGAATTCCACTGGTTTTTCAAATTTCTGCATAATTAAATGATTAGGATGTAAACAAAGTAAATGAATTGGCTATATTTGCACTGCACACTACCCGTCCTTTAAAGCGCCCATATTATACGTTTCTCTTGTATTTTATTCTGTTCCTGAGGTCAGTTTACAACATCTGTGTGGGTTTATGCACCAAAACAGTCATACTTCATTTTAACCTGACTGTTTTCAACCTTTCTTTATCTCTTAGAATTAAACAGGCTGCTGTTGTTACTGTTCCTTTAAAACTAATGTATGTAAAAGACCTTTGTTCTGATTGGCTGATCTATATTATAGTGAAGCAGTCCAGTCTGTTCACTTAAATGGTAATTCCACCCATTTCTTTCACACTTCTGCATAAATAAATGGTTAAGATGTACAATAGTCATTCAGAGTTGTTTGGTGTGAAGCGCCATGTTCTAGATAAATGTATTGAGTCAGAATTGTTCACAGTGGTGGTGATGGGAACCAGACATGTGAAGCATTTAATGCCTCCAAAAGCTCCCTCACAGAAAGAGACCTCAAAGACAAGTTATTTTTAAAAACTTTACCACATTTGACCATTATCAACATTATATATAAAAACTCAGAAGACAGGTTTCGGGTCACTGGCTGTTTTGGAAATGAAATAAAATGGTTTTGTGTTGTAGATATTGTGACCCCTGGTTCCCGTCACCACCACTGTAAAGAAATTTGAGTCAGTTAATTTCTCTGCAAGGCACCATTTAAAATCAAAGCACTCTGAATGAGTTTGTTTACATCACAAAGACTGAATTATGTGAAATTTTTTGAAAAATCAGTGGAAACTGTTCTGTAAAACTTTTGTAAACGTTTTTACAAGTTTAGACTGAAATGATAAACTTTAGCCAGTCCTATCGGATGTAAGGAATGATCAATTTGCTTCCTGGCAGCCAGGAACAGTACTACGTTTAATTTCCCATATCATCCAGTCCAAGAACTCCTACAGACAGTCACATATACATATGACTGCCCATGTGCTTCAGTGCGCATGGGCAGTCATATGTATATGTGTTCATGGTTGTGACATCAAAATGGGCTTTTTATCTGCACAGCTTAGTTTCCATATAAGGACTGGGATGAAATTTGAACATATACATAGTCCATCAAGACATGCGCTGACCCCCTAACTCCAACACTACATATATATCTCCTGCCGCCCTGTGTGTAAGCGTACTTCTGCTATTCTGTCTGAACTCGCTCCAGCTGCCCCTCCGCCATCCCGAATGCCTGCACACTGCCGAGAGTCACCCCAGTTCCATCCACCGCTCCCTTAGACCGGGACAAGGCCACCTGCTTCATGCACCTGGACCACCTTGAGGTTTCACCTTGGATCATGCAGCTGCTTTCAGCAAGTTCTCTGAAACGGCCAGCTGCCAAGCCGTGTGAACATCGACACGCAGATGCAGGACGCAAATATACTTTCTGTGCTATTTTCTGCTGCATTCTAGATTTCACACTTCCTAAGTCCTTAATAACCCATCTGCTCAAGACAGTGAGGTTTATTAAACTTATTACTGTCCCACTGTAATAAGACAGCATCTGACCAGCCTACTGTCCATCCCGCACTCAGACAATCCAGTCCCAACTACTGCAGCTCCCTAGCGTGCTTCTTCAGATTATCAAAAGTACTAAAAAACTACTGATAAAAATAAAGCCACACATTATTAGAAGGGCATGTCATGTGTTACACTAAAGCACAATTACGCGATGAATGACATCACAACAGTCTTTTGTTAAGGCTGTTCATGACACATGGCTTTGTTAGAATTTAAATAACTGCACAATATAAAAATAAATGTGGAATATAATAAATAATTAAATGTATTTTTGTATATTAGATACACCTCTGTTATTTACATATGTACATATGCTACATGTGTTGGGGGAAAGAAGGATGTTCTTCATCGCCTTTAGCACCACAGAGAGAGAAACAACACAGGAGAGTCCTGAAGAGAAGAGGACAAAGAGATTCGTGTTCAGAGAGACTCCAGCTGAAAGCAAACAGTGTTTTTTTTAAACGTGCCTTAAATGTAATATCTGCAATTATATGAGGTTAAAGGGACAGTCCAGCAGAAAATCATATTTAAAGAATTGTACTCCAAATGTTCCACCGCACAAGCACAAAAGTACAAACGAAATCTCTAGCAGTCACACGCTGGTCATTCACACATAGACCAACTGGCTGTTTCATTAAGTACACCCACTTCTTTCTACACTCACTGTCAATTTTATCAGCTCCACTAACCGTATAGGTGCACTTTGTAGTTCATTATGGACCGTTTCCCTGACCCCCTCAGGACCACCACAGAGCAGGTATTATTTGGGTGGTGGATCATTCTCAGCACTACAGTGACACTGACGTGGTGGGGGTATGTTAGTGTGTGTTGCGCTGGTACGAGTGGATGGCCATGAGCTGTTGCTATAATTTTCTGGATTTTTATCTTGAGATAATGAATTAACTATCTTGTGACCTCAAGATAACAAAAGTTGTTATCTTGAACTAATGAGTTAAATATCTTGTGATGTCCAGATAACAACGTTGTTAACTTGAGATCACAAGATATTTAACTTGTCATCTCAAGATAACAACCCAAAAAATTATAGCAACAGCTTATGGCCTCTCTGGACTTCTTTAGCAATGTGCTCTTTTGTAACGAGTTAATTATCTTGTGACCTCAAGATAACAAAGTTGTTATCTAGAAATAATGAGTCAACTATCTTGTGATCTCAAGATAACAAAGTTGTCCAGAAAATTATAGCAACAGCTCATAGCCTCTCTGGACTTCTGTAGCAACGTGCTCTTTTTTAATGAGTTAATTATCTTGTGATCTCAAGATAACAAAGCTGTTATCTTGGGACATCGAGTTAATTATCTTGTGATCTCAAGATAACAAAGTTGTTATCTTGGGATATCGAGTTAACTATCTTGTGATCTCAAGATATCAAAAGTTGTTAATTTGAGATAATGAGTCAACTATCTTGTGATCTCCATATAACAAAGTTGTTATCTCGAGATAACGAGTCAACTGTCTTGTGATCTCAAGATAACAAAGTTGTCATCTTGAGATAACAAGTCAACTATCTTGTGATCTCAACTATCTTGCGATCTCAAGATAAAGTTATTGTCTTGAGATAATGACTCAACTATCTTGTGATCTCAAGATAACAAAAAGTTATCAAAAAAGTTATAAAAAAAGTTATCAAAAAACAAACAAAAGTTGTTATCTTGAGGTAATGAGTTAAGTATCTTGTGATCTCATGATAACAATGTAATTAACTTGACAACACAAGATAATTAACTTGTTATCTCAAGATAACAATCGAGAAAATTATAGCAACAGCTCAAGGCCTCTCTGGACCTCTGTAGCACTGTGCTATTTTATGAGTATTTATTTATTAAGCAAAATAAAGTAAATGATTTGACTGTTTATACATTCAGAAAAGGAGATCTATATAACTTGCTTATAAGCAGTGACGATTCCTGGTATAAAGCCCACTGTATCATTCAGTGCAGTGCAAATGCTGTATGTGTGAATGGCCTACGTGACCCTGCATGCAGGTAGTGGCTCCACTGTAAAACTAAAGAAGAAAACGTTTGACCAAACATGTCTTGGCTGATGAACTAAATTTGGTGTAAGGAGGAAAATTGTGTCCAGTTATTTTTTGCCAAACTATTTCTTTTAATCCAAAGACATGCTAATCTACCCAAACAGTCAAACTGTATTAAAAAAGTCCTCCAACCTGTTCGAAACGTGGCTCATGTGACTTGAACGAGAAGGCCGGAGCTGGAGGAGGGAGTGCATTTTCCACAGTAGCCACCACACGTTCCTGTCACTCTGCTGCCATCCTGAGGACAAGAAAGGAACTGCATGTAAGACTGACATTGCACTGATTTTCAATATCAGTGCTGATTCTGATTTCTGAGTCATATAAAGTGTGTTATATACAACCAAATGATCACTTGGACTGTATTTAAGCAGAAAATTCAAATCTATGCATTACATATGGTATATTGTGAACTAGTGCTAGGTTACTACAATATACCAAAAAGAAAGGAATATACATGTGAACTATTAACTCCAATAAATAACAATCTATATGAGAAAGCCATGAGCTGCAACACTAGCTATATTCTTGGTAACACACAAGTGTCAGCCAGCCTCTCGTTGGCACAGAGATCCGTCCAGCAGGGCTCTCCACACACTCTTGACCTACTACAACTGATTTTCTGTTTGCTGGCCTCTTGAGTGCAGAGCGCTTTTAGTCAGAGTCTTTTTACTCCCTGCCAAAAAAGTGTCCCTGACTGATTTCCATTACAAAACAAAAGGGAGGCATGGCTCCTCACACCAGCTGCTCGCTGCCTGGGCACTTGAGGCTCCAGGAGAGGGAAGCAAGGCGAGGGCCTTATTATAAAACATACTTAAATTTCATACTAAATATATTCCTGAGAGACGTTCTCATCATTCACGTATGAATTATTTACAAAAGAAAAGTGTACACTTGAATATGTGCACAGAACGTAGACATGCGACTATTAATAAATGAAAATATATCATAAAATTAAGTGCACATGAACAAGCTTGTCAGTTCTGCCCTGCTGAATTACATGCACAAGAAAAGAATAGGGTATATTGGGGGTCACAGTCAGTTCTCTTCAACAGACTCAATGCTAGCTGGCTGAATAGACTTATTAAAAGGGCTTATTTTATATATTATTTTATTTATATAATAAAGAATACAAGTACACAAAGAACACATCTATAAAAAAAGACACAGGGAAAGGGGTCTGGGAAGATGACACTGGCTCAGCCACTCATCACGATGAACTAAGAAATCAGCCGGTGTCTTTGTCTCTTTTAACCTTCAGCTTGCTTCTCAAATTGTTTGTCATTTAGCCTGTTAAGTGTCCTTCATAAGCAAATAAACAAATAAATAAATAAATGAACAAACAAACAAACAAACAAATCAATCAATAAATACATAAATAAATACAGAAATATTTCTGCAGCTTACAAAGAAAAAGGACAAAACGGTTTAAAGTGAGTTTCATTTAAATTATTTGGGTTTTTCTTGACCTTGTAATGTAAATGGTTGTCTGGGTAGTGGCAGGATTTGTCTATATAGAGTGAGGACACTACACTGGCATAGGTGCGCATGTTCACTGTTCATGGGTTGTGTACTCAGACAGACAGACAGACAGATAGATAGACAGACAGACAGACAGAGAGATAGACAGATAGATAGACAGACAGACAGGCAGGCAGGCAGACAGGCAAAGATAGATAGATAGATAGATAGATAGATAGATAGATAGATAGATAGATAGACAGGCAGACAGACAGACAGACAGATAGATAGGCAGGCAGGCAGACAGATAGACAGGCAGACAGGCAGACAGACAGACAGACAGACAGACAGATAGACAGACAGACAGACAGACAGACAGACAGACAGACAGATAGATAGATAGATAGATAGATAGATAGATAGATAGGCAGGCAGGCAGGCAGACAGATAGGCATGCGGGTGGGCGGACGGGCGGACGGACGGACGGATTGATAGAGAGGCAGACAGACAGACAGACAGACAGACAGATAGATAAATAGATAGATAGATAGATAGATAGATAGGTAGATAGATAGACAGACAGACAGACAGACAGACAGGCAGGCAGGCAGGCAGATAGATAGATAGATAGATAGATAGATAGATAGATAGATAGACAGTTAGGCAGGCAGGCAGACAGACAGACAGACAGACAGACAGATAGATAGATAGATAGATATATAGATAGAATGATAGATAGATAGATAGATAGATAGATAGAAGGATAGATAGATAGATAGATAGGCAGGCGGGCAGGCAGGCAGGCAGACAGACAGACAGACAGACAGGCAGACATACAGACAGATAGATAAACAGACTGACAGACAGGTGGATAGATAAACATTAAATATTGTAACACAATAACTAGCACACGCTTAATAAATGATAATAATTACAGCTTAAAGAAATGATAAGGTTAGTGGATACAGACGGGTTTAGGAAGAGAAAGCAGTGGAGGGATTTGGGAGGTGACTGAAAGAATTTAAGTAGGAGGAAATGTGAAATGAGGACATGAGAGAAAAAAGGATTGGGAACGTGAAAAGATGGTGGGCAGAGTTCTTCAGAAGACGAGGACAGCTGCAGAAATAAGGTTTGTGAAGAGAGAAGGTAGAGGGGGGCTCGCCTGTGCGAGTGGTAGTAAGGAAGGCCGGATGCAGAGGCAGTAAAAATGAACAGGGTCACAGTTCAAATTTAATGTTTATCATTTCATCAGTCACAGTTATGACCATGACAAACTCAGTGGAACACTTCACTCAGAAATGCTGACGTGGCTGGTAGTGAATCTCATTAACATGATGTCAATAATGTGTCGTTTCTTTAAAATGTGGAACATGAGCCCAGTGGGTGAAGCATTCTTCTGGGTCACTATAACTAAAGGCACAGTGAGTGACGTACCTGTGACTTGTGGATGTCGGCCACGGCGTAGTTCCCTTGGGAAATCCACGTGGTGCTTTCAGCCACTTGAAAGCCTGTTCCTGAGAGATTGATCCTGAATCGACCCTGAAGAGTCATAACAGAGGCACTCTCAGCACATGCTCATACTCAGCAGTAGATGGTGCTGTTGAGCAGCAAAACAGCTTTGACTTGCTGAACCAAGGCTCTATACTTGCACACTGAGGTAAAATTCACTAAAATGTATAAGCACAGATTAAAAGAACACACTGGCCAGAGTGAATAAACTGACCATTAAAACATTTAACTGACTGAAATCTTTGAAATTACATTTTGTATGTGTGCCTCGGTGAAACCTAATCTGAATCCACTTAGGATTTTTCCCTCTGTGGTATCTAGGAAGATACAGCCAAGTGAGCTCTCCCATTCATAAGGCCTTCAGGAGCTGAACAGAAGGCCCTACATCCTAACATAGCGACCAATATAATTAGGAAGTGACAGTGTAATCACCCGTCATGTTTTGATTTACAATAGGTGGGACCAAAACTTAAATCTAGGCCTTCTGGAAGTCCTAAAAATGTCACTGACTGTGAATATGAACTGTAACCTAATCAGTTCTGTTGCATACAGGGTAAAATATTTGTCTAGTACAAGCCTTAAACAAAACATATGGAATGTCAGTAATAGTTTATTTGGATAAAAAGATGCTCGGTCAATCTTTAGCTCACACTCAACTAAAAACCTGTTCCATGCAACTGAAGTTGTTTGTAAAATATTCTAAATTTATAAATCTGTCCATACAACAAACCTAACCCTAACCTCAAGGCAAAACCTACACCTACTCCTAACCTAACCTTAATCTTAATATTGCTGTTAATAATACAAGTATCTGTAGATCATCTATAGGGGACCATCCAAATAAAGTGTGACCGGAATGTCCTTTAAAAGCTTCAAATGTCCATGTATCACCTAGAACATCCAAATGTCAATGTGCACCACCGTTACATAGTAATAGTAATAGAAATCCCATAAGTGTGATAGTAAAACTACCAGTATTGCAGAGGTGTTTTTTTAACCCATATGGCCAAAACTGAAGGTCTAGCTCTAATAGTCACTGTTCGCAAATGTGCAAATATGTAACAATAAGCAAAATACTTTTTGGTGAAAATCTAATTTACACAATTATTGCTCTAGCTTGAAATTTGCCCAAAAGACAAGATATTGGTGTCTGAATTTTGGTTCTTTAGCTTCACACTGGATCTATGAGGCTAATGTAGGTAACAAGTAATGGAAACTTATATCTCACTAGTTATCATCGTGCTAACTTGATGACTGATTTAAGAAAAATAAGCTCTGTTCTGATTCGCTAACCTGTAATGCGCCTCATTGCAAAAAAACAATCCAGGCTGAAACGCTCCTTGTAGCTGCAACGCAAACGGGTGGGACTGCTGTAGACTGAAAAGGCGGATATATATGTAAATGATTTGTTTTCTGACATCATATGACATCACAAAAATACTAAACACAAAACATGCTGTTCTTGCAACTTAGCTTTCATATATGGACTGTATGGACCGTGAAGTGAACGCTATGCTTTGAAACATGTTTACATCAAACTCTTATTCCAAAAAAAAGGAAAATTTGGTTTTCCAACATTCACATGATGCTAATTTGTCACCGAAATATCAGTACATAACACAACAACCATACTCTATTGGACTGAAATACATTTGTACAGTGGTTTGAAAGGGTGGGAGTGACAGGCAGGGCTACACTTCCCCTCCAGTGGCTCGAGGAAGAGAGAAGTAGAGAAAAAGCGCCTGATTCATTGAGCTTTTCCCAGCGGTGGCAGCTGTCTGCGGCCTGTCTGAATCCCATCTCTCAGCCGGGGAGCTAAAAGACTGAGGAATGAGTGCCAGCGACGGAGAGAGAATGAGTGAGTGGGAAAGAAAATGAACTAGAAAGAGTGTAGGCACAGAAATAGAGCGATTCAGTGGCCGAGTGACACAAATGTCAAATCTCTATGGCTGTGCAGCGAGGTTTAGAAGTTTGATGGGTTTAAAGTTTGATGGTGTGTGCGTTGTCTGGACAGCCGTCTGCTTTTAAGACAGAATTTGATGTCTGAAGACTCAGCACTGGAACGCTTTCAGAGAGAAGTTGCACATGTTCATTCCTCTGCTGCTCAAGCTTTCTCACGTTCTTTCACTCGCTCTGTTTCTACATTACTCAGAATCAGAAATAGAAGAAAAAATGAATCAATTCACCCCAAGCAGAACCATATTTTCCTAGTCATTCTCCATTTTGGACTATTTTTTTATGCCTATGATGTCCAGCTTCATCTTGAAGTTAGTTCTCGCTAGGGTTGGAAGGTCTGGTTCTAAAATCTGGTTGGCTGAGAGATGTACAAAGCCACTGTACATTAATTTTGCATATACTGAGAGTCAGACACAGTCAACTTATCAGTGCGTAGCAATGTTTAAAAGTTTTAAAATGTGACACAAAAAGCTTGTATTTGTATGCTAGTTTCTATTAGCACACATATCGCATTATTATGCTAGCGCTATGCTAACAGGGGTGCTCTAGCTGCAGTACATGGGCATTTGGAGCTTATAACACAGACATTTGAAGCTTAGAACTGCTTGTAATAGACATTCTGTAAAGATATATCTTATAATTTGTATATTGCAAACATGTCTGATTGACTACATTTAGGGGTGAGGTGAAAATTCTGATTCGTTCCCAAACTATTCCTTCAACTAGCAGAGGCGTCATACCCACCTGTGGACAGCGGGCGGCGCTGTAGCAGTCTCCCGCAGTGGCAAAAGGAACCTTGTGACCTTCATGAGTGAAAGCGTACGTCCAGTCTGTGGCTAAAAGGCAAAAATTCAGTGATGTTGGCATTAGCATGTGTGAGTGTGGTTTAGTCACCATAACACTTTATATGGGCACAGTATTTCAGAGATCTCAGCTTGTAAACGTGCTTCCGCTATAATAAGTATTCTTCAGCAGACCCAGATCTGACCACTTTTCCTTTCACAGGTCACCACTTATGTCATAATTAGGATAAGTGACACATAATATGAGGGCAATTTGAACCAATCAACCCCTCGCCTTGTAATTGTGAGCTTTCTAAGCGCCAAAAACAGCTATCTTGAAACCATTAACCCCTTCATGCTTGGACTTAATGAAATGCTGGGCAAATGCTGGGACAGCGGCAGCTAATCTCAGGTCACTGTGTTCGCCAGATCGCTGACATTAGACAGAGCTGTAATTAAGCAGAATGTTTATTCTGGATTTGCCGGCCTCCCCCCCAACAGGTCCTCCATTACGGAGAAGAAGAGTGTCATTAACCTCTCCAAATGCCTGGCTGACACTCTCTCTGGCCTGAAAAGGCCTTACGGGGGGAATACACATACTCCTCCAGTGGGTTTTCTTTCCTTCAGGTTCTTTTCATCTAAAGAAAGCAGCAGCTTTTCAAGAAGGAACAAACATGTGGTTCATGTTATCAGGGTTATAATTCAGTTTTTAAATCCGAGAGCTGCCACAGTGAGCCAGTATAGGTAAAAGTGAATATGTAAGGACATAAAAGAGGTTCGGAACAGAAAAAACATGTCGAACTCAAGAAGAATGAGGCACTTATTCAGAGAAATGATCAGATTTCTTTCTTATATATATATATATATATATATATATATATATATATATATATATATATATATATATATATAGCTGCTGTCAGACCAAAACTTGTATCTCCATTTTTGTTGTTTTTCACTTTTTTGTTGTTTTATGTCCAGGAAAATGTCTGGTTTTTTCCTTCTCCTGTAAAGTTACCATTTTGGAGATCCGAGGTTTTGCTGACAACAGCAATTATACATTGTAAAGCCCACTCTCATCAATGTAAATCATGGAAAAAAAAAAAAACACTGAAAACTCTTGAAAGTGCTCTACACTGTGTTTTAAAATCAGTTAAAACACTTCATTTACAACATAACTGTACTTCATCGCTCGCTACACATTTTTTTGTTATTATTTGATCTGTATTGTGTATTTTAATGCTTTTTTAATCTCTTTAGAATTCATGTTCTGCCCATAAATGCATTTTTTCATAGCAACTGCTGCAAAACATGACAAGCTTTACAGAACGCTAGCAAAAATTCCACTCAAAGTAATGAGAAATAGATTAAATATATAAATTATTCATATTGTTTAGATTCTCTACACACATTTTTTTACTAATTATATTTTATTTATAAACATTTCTATTATTATGGTAAAATACTGTATGTTAGAAAAAAAAAACAGTATTTCTAAGACATTAAATAACTGTAATTTTACAGATTTTTACCATTACTGAGCATTTCCTCAGTCTCCTACTGGGGTTACTTTATTAGGAACAACATTCTTAAACTTTTTGCTATCAAAACAGCCTGAATTCTTCATGGCATGGATTCAACAAGGGGCTTGAAACATTCCTGATACCATTTCTGGTCCATGTTGACATGATTGCGTCATGTAATTGCTGCAGATTTATCAGCTGCACATTCATGCTGTAACTCTCCTACATCCCAAAGGTGCCGTGCTGGATTCAGATCTGGTGACTAGGGAGGCCATTGAAAGACAGATGCTGGAATACTGTATGGACCTGGATAGATGTAGCATTCAAGCGATGCTCGGTTGATGTTAGGAGGCCCAATGTGTGCCAAGAAAAGACTCTCCATACCATTACACCACCTCCACCAGCCTGAACTGTTGATGAAAGGCAGATCCATAGATTCACGCTGTTTATGCCAAATTCTGACACCTCGATCTGCAGAAATCAAGATTAATCAGACCAGGAGACATTTTTCCAATCTGTAACTGTCCAGATAGGGTGAGCTTGTGTCCACTGTAGCCTTTGATTGCTGTTCTTGGATGACAGGAGTGGACCATAATGTGGTCTTCTGCTTTTGTAGCCACTTTAAAGTTTGACTTGTTGTGCAATTAGAGATGCTTTTCTGATCACCACTTTGGCAAAGAGCAGTTTTTTTGAGTCGCACCTGCATCCTGTCAGTTTGAAGAAGTCTAGCCATTCTCCGCTGACCTCTCTAACCAAAAGGGTTTCTCCATCTGCCAGATCTCACCATTCTGACTAAACTCTAGAGACTGTTGTGCATGACAATCCCAGAAGATTCTAAAAATACTCAAGTCAACCAGCCTGGTACCAACAACTATGCCATGGTCACTCACACATTTTTTCTTCATTCTGATGTTTGATGTAAACATAACTGAAGCACTTGACCTGTGCCTGCAAGATTTTATGCTCTGCACTGTCACATAATAGACTGATTGGACAACTGTATGGCTGAGCAGGTGTACAGGTGTTCTTATATAGCGGCCGGTGAGTGTATATATATTATATGGCCAAAATGTGGACACATGATCGTCACATCTACATGAGCTTGCTGGTCATCCCAATTCAAAACTATGGGCATTAATATGGAGTTGGTCCCTCTTTTGTGGCTATAAGGGCCTCCACTCTTCTCTCTATGCACAACGCCAAGTCATTATTTTAGAGTATACGGGAATTTGTCATGCTGATGTTGATTCCAGCGGCAGTTTGGAACTCTGTAATGATGATGCAACAGAGGATCCTTCCACATATTGTACCTGGCAAATAGAAGATTTCATTCTAAGCATGGCATTATTGTTACGCATTGGCGTTAGCTATACTGGTCCACTTGGCACAATCACCCACTGCATGCCAGCCTGTGTGAATGTCTGTAGAATGAGAGGTATGTCTGAGGCCAGCGGCACTGCCAGCCGACCCAGCCTCCCTATAATCTCTGTTATTTCCTGTTCCTTTCAGGAGCGCAGGCCATATGTTTTGCCTTTATGTGCCCCTCTCTCTCAGTCACCAGATCGTGTGTGGAGGGGGTTCACGGGGATTCATTTCACCTCTTAACTACACGAGCATGACGCACATGCCAAATGGAACTTCCGCCACGGCCAGTTCTCAGGGAGACGTTTCGGATTAGCGAGACTTATGTACGAAACAGCTTATATGAAAAGTGCGCCGAGGACACGTGCGCCGCAGAACTGAACGCCCTTTCTGAACGTTCCAGCATGTTAATATTGCACCAATGGTAACTTTATACCGAAGCCTATTAGATTTGATCTCCTCTTGATGCAACGGTCCAATAACTATCATGTATCCACTTCAATACTCAAGCCAGTACAAAGCAGGCTACACAAGAAAGCTGTTGAGGGAGGCTGAGAGCTTTCAGGTTTTGGAGAGTTCAGGGAGGTTACTGAAGTCCAGACGTGTTCTTTCGTCCAGATGTGGACAGTGGTGCAGAGAGAGGGAGGCTTCCAGATCAGTATGCGTGTGCATATGTGTGGAATCTGTCATTGATGGACAAAGCAGATACAGCTGCTAAGACTGCTCTCGTATCAGAGTTCATAAAGCCGTCTAATTGACACATGGTCAGACAAATGGACAGAATAAAAACTGTGCTGAGCAAAAACTTATATATAAAGAACAATAATGAATCTGTGCTTGATCTATAAGACTAGTTTAATACCTTAAACTGCAGGCTTATTATTTGGTAGTTAACTTTGACTTATTATTCTGTAAACTTTGTGTATTGAATACAAATGTGAAAATCTGTAAATAGTTTACAGATTAATATAATATATTACATCAACAATGACAAAAGTACAATAAAAGTTTGGAATGACCTGTCATATCGATTGTTATTGAAATTAATCATAACATATACAGTGTAGTTTTAAATCATGTTAACAAAGACAAAAAACATAATTTTAGATATTTTATTTAATATTTAAATGTTTATTAAGATGTTTTAACTGTTTAAAAACTATAATTATACTGTAATTATGCAATAATTTTTACTGTAATTCACTATTTATCAGCGCCAAGTTATCTGCCTTGAGATCTAATCACTATATATATATATATATATATATATATATATATATATATATATATATATGTAAAATGACTACTACTTTTATATTTCTATATATGTATCATGTATATCATGTATAGAATCATATATCCATAAAACTCTAACTTAACAAAGATTTGAATGACCATTTCTATCAAGCAAATCCTGTAGAAATATTTCTTTCATAAAGTGTTAAGTTTGATGAACAATATCTAATGAGTTCATTCCAAAATCTTCTGCCAACCTAATATTCTGCCACAACAATTAGTGATAATTTCATATTATTAGATTAGATCAGATTAAATTGAACTTTTTTGAATGCCATCAGAAAAGTCTTCACAAAGGCAGAATAATAAAACCAATACCACAATATTTTACAAATATAAAAGTCATGGCCTGTCTTTATCACTTCAATAGATGTACTTATACAGAAGGCAAGCACGCCACGGCCTACCAGTCCTAATCCTTGGGCAAGACTTCTAATGCTACATTACCCTCCCTCTGCAACAAGATTAAAAAATCAGTCATTCTGAATTAGATAATCTTCAAAGTGCTGAACAATTATTTGGGGTAAAATGATAAGTACCAAGACAGTCCAACTAAATTACACTCAAGTGAACGAAAGGTTCTAGCTATTAAGCTGATCAAGGACATGGTACTATATCTCATAATTATCTGGAGTAATAAGGTGGTAAATGCAAACATACTCTCACTACATTTACAAGTTCACTGTATTGTCACATGTTTAAGCAGGAAAGTAAATCAGAAACACTTTAGAGTACTGGGTAGTTGTATGGCGTAAAATAACAAAATACAAAGACAGTTTTCTACTGTAAATGTTAAAAACCCAGTAAAATAACAGTAAGAATCATTGCTTTTGTTAACAGCCCAGATTCAGTTTCATTTATATGTATTATACTATATTAAATACTATGTAAGACTCATTGTAATTTATTGTCCAAAATCTTTTTACATTTAATAACTACACGGCACTTTTGACCACAAATAATTACACAGTACTGTGGAGTTTGCACCACATACTTACTCAGTTAATATCTAGAACCTGTTGGGTATTTCAGTGTAATTTAGTTATACTGCTTTGGAACTTGCCATCATGTTACCCAAAATAAATATCTAGTATTTTGGAGTATTTATCTAGTATTTTATCCAGTAATTTACCTCACGCTTACCTGGTTAATCCCTAAAACTCAAGGGAGTGTAAATGAAAGGATTACCTATATGCTTATTAGCTCAATTACATATTTCATTTAGTGCTGACAACAGAATGTCAGTCTATAGAAGAATTGTTTACAAAAGTTGAGTAAACAACAAAAAAGCTAGCAGAAATTGGGAATTAAACCCTGCTAAACCTTTTAACTAGAATTCCAAAAGTTTGACCAGCAGTGTAAATAAACTGAAAGACTAAACTGTGTTGATGTAATTTATGTGGAAATGAAGTACAAATCTGAATGAAATGAATTCGGTGCATCACTTTTAAGTGTAGTGGCGTAGAGTGAGGAAGTGTAGGAGGGGTGGACCCACATATGGACCTATTTTATTGACCCATAATTTTGTTGCTAACACTATAATGACATAATAACTAAGTAAAATGGTTGCAAAATGGTGCTTCACTGTCCATTCAGGCCTGAAAATGAATCGTCATTCGGGTTAAATAGTATGTGAACTCAAACTAAGCCCAGAATTGGCTTAATGCAGTATTTGACTCACTGATGATGGTCATCTTGCTGAGGTCCAGTCTGACCCGGGTGAAGGTGGACAGGCCGGCGGCTGTGTAGTCTCTCCGACACTGACAGTCATCTCTCCTGCTGAGGTTGGATGGGCACTGCGTGGGGTCCAACAGCCTGCACAGCAATAACAACAAATACGATACAAAGATATTTGTATTATGTGAAAATGTAATGCAAACAGAAACTGCTTTTATTTCGGGATGCGTGTGTATCGTATCCAGTGTGAAATAACAAGCGTGGCAGAGTGGTTCCGGACTACTAGGCATGCTGCGTCACATCTGGTGTGAAACTGGCATTACAGTGATTTTACTACCGGTAAGAGGGTTTTAATCGCCCTTATTCACAACAGAATCACTGTAAAGCAGAGCCTTTCTTGGCTGTTTGCCATATTTTACTGCTGCCAAACAGTCCTCTTGACAAAAAACACTAAAAATACTAAACTTAATTTTTAATGAGATTCCTGTTTTGTATTTCTTGAAAATGTAATGATCTCCTTCTTACCTGAATCCAAAAACCTCCGAGAAGTTCTCGCGCTCTCCAGTCGTGAGAGTGATGTACTCTTTCGGATTGTCTGTGTTCATCTCTGAGCAGTAGATCTGAGAACAGAAAGAGAGAGAGAGAGGGAGAGAGAGAGAGACAGATAGAGAGAGAGAGAGAGAGAGAGAGAGAGAGAAAGAGAGAGGGAGAGAGGAGAGAGAGAGAGAGAGAGAGAGAAGGAGAGAGAGTATGAAATGCAGCAGGTGAACAGAGGTCTGGATAAATGTGGTGGGTTTAAAAATGTGGTGAGATTCTCACTTTAAGCGCTTTGCCCTGCACACTCAGAACCTGCTCTCCATCAGACACAATGCCGGTCTGGATCTGCACATGCCTGCAGCTGGTGGGCAGATGACCTGAAAGCGAGAGAGAGTAAAAGATACGTCTGTTAGCTGATGTAACTGAATTGGTAGTTAGTGTTCTCCTCCAAGCGTGTCCAGTGATGTTGTGTTAGTCTAAACGACTGGAATGAGTATACATTAGCACGTATATTTTGAAAATAAGTTGCCACATCCTCTACAGTAAACCAAATTAAATACGACAATCTTCTGCAAATGTTTGTGCACGATTTCTATTTGTCTGCGGAGTTTAACATATTGTAAAAAAACTAAAACATACAACGTCTCAGTATGTGCTGCAACATGTCTCAGTGTGTGCTAATACGCTAGTACAGGCTAAAAAAATATAATATAAACGAAAACGCAGATTTACTTTACTCTGCTTTAAGCTTTAGCTGAGCTATAGCTGCTTTTCTTGCATCTCTGGCAGGAAACTTTTCTGTAAAAGTACAATAATTTCTTGTAAAATGTCTCAATGTTTGACTTTTTACGAGGCTGAAGTCACTTTTCGTTCACCAGCTTCTTGTTTGAATTTTTCCGTTCCACTTTAAATGGTGGCTGAGGTGTCAGAACGTAACTGCTGCCTTATTTAAGGTGGAACGGGAAAACTGGAAGAAGAAGCTGGCGAATGAGAAACTGACTTCAGCTTCGTGACGTTTTAGTGTTTGACAGTTTCTCGTTGCAGATTAAACGTATCAGGAAACCAGCTGGAGTGATTAGAAACGCAAATGAGTCCATTCGTCTCCAAATTATCAATGTTTGTCTTAAATCTTTCTCTTTGCCTTTTTGTTAGCTACTAGCTAGGTGAGACTGTTGTCTGTGTTGCTATGGTGATCAGCAGTCTGCGCACAACCTTCAGGGTTAAAGGTTGGTGAATTAGCAGTTATAGGCTACATTAATTCCAGCGTTTAAGACAATTTATTGTTAAAACGGTGTTAGATTGTTTAGCAGAGCTTTATTGTACTATAAAGGAGGATTATTTTATTTCTACCTAAACGTCTAATTCTGCTGTTGGGCAGTAAAAGAGCTGCATGTTGCCAACCCCTGGTCTAGGATTATGGATAGCATCAGGCTAATGTGCTCCAGAACAGCTTGCATTGAGTGTTATGACAGCTCTGAACTCTGGGTGATATACTGCACACTCACAGGAGGGGTTACTGCAGGTCTTACGGCCCTCCGGCCTGGAAGTGGTGGGGCATTCATCACTGAGGTCCCCTTCTGCTGAAACACACTGCACTGAGCGCTCCATCCAGCCTTCACCACAGCTCACAGAGCACTGAAGATAGACATGAATACTCATAAGACTTTCTGAAAGTTTTCTTAGAAGCAAAAATCAAACATATTGGCCGAATCTGATCATCTGTCCAATATCGATAATTTTTTAAGCTATTATTTGCTAACACCAACGTTCCGATCTCATCATGCATCCCTAGTTAAAGCACTCACAGGTCCCCAGATGCCCACTCTCCAGGTGTGGCTAGGAGGGCAGGGGGGCAGACTGCAGGCCATGTAACTTTCAGGAGGGGTCCCAGGGCAGTTTGATGATGCCTGGTGACCATACTCATAGTTCTCATTCCCAGCGTGCACTTCACTGCAGGACACCAGCCTCCTCTTATAGCCCTGGCCACAGGTGACGGAGCACTGGAGAGGAAAACAAACAAACAAACAAACAATAATAACAAAGTTAGGAAGCGAGACACTTTATCCATGAGTTGGCTCTTTCTGTAGGCCCTCTAGTGACCATTATGTCGGTAGAATGAACATCGTAGATATTTATAATTATTGTAATTCAATTAAATATTGCATTTTATCGCTACATTGAAAAAGGGGTAAAAAAAAAACACTGAGGTGAGTCTCTAGTGAAACAGAATGCTATGAAAACTCACACTGCACTACTGTCTAAACCTTATTTACCAAAACATCCTTATTCGGCCTGCTTCTGTCTCTGTTCTCACCTCGGTCCAGTCTCCTGTGATCCAGATGAACTCGCAGGGTTGAGTGTTACACAGCTCGGTGTCTGCTGGTCTCTGGTGGTCCAAGCAGTACATCTCATGCACCTCGTGCTCGTTGTGATCCAGACACACCACTGTCCGACGGCGGCGGCCAGAGCCACATGTTTTGCTACACTGTAAAGACAAGGGTGAAAGGGTTGGTATGATGTTCAAGTAAAATATAAATGGCAATATACAGTCATATGCAAACATTTGCCCTGATCACAATTTTTATATATTTGCTAAGGCCTCTCCATGTTTTCTGTATATTACAGAAGGCCAGTATCTACAGATCTAAGATTACATGCTGGAACATAAACAGATAGACACTCTGCGATGTAACCGGGTGCTTCAAGGTCATTTAGAGCCTTAAAAACTAGTGGCAGAACCAATCCTGAATGATACAGGTAGCCAGTGCCATTCTTTCAAGAAGAGTCCTCGAGAACTACAGATGCTATATTCGCCCATCTCTGATTAAACTCTGATTAAAAGTCAATCCAGGTTTTAGCATCAGCCAAATGTGTAGATAAACGCAAAGGGTGGACAGTTAACTCTGAGAATACTTGTCACCTTCAAAACATTGCCGTTCCTATGAGAAGATGCTGGAATCAAATCCCGTCTGAACTGTCTTAGAAAAACTAATCATGCTTGTCAGCTTGTGTCCTGAAATCTTCAGAAAAGCCACAAAAAATACAGTTTGTGTAAAGCAGGGTTGTCCACACTTTTTTTTTTTCAAAGAGGGCCAGACCGTAACAAAATATCTGTGGGGTGAAATATTATTCACCTATTATTAAAGATGCACGAGGCTTCTTTTATTTTTGGATTGCTCATTAAGAGTAATTTGGATTGGTAAGCGCTTATAACAAATAACTTTTTAAATTGAACTCATTGTTTAAGAGTAAGCATGAATTAATCTAATAATCAAAAGTTTTAAGTACATTGCTATTCAAGTGTTTACTTGTACAAAAATAGAATTTGTGAGACAAACTAAACAAAAATCACCACTTGTAACACACTCTTGAACAGAAACCATGGGCAAATTTTGGGCATTTTCACACTAGAGCTTTTTTCCCGACCCAGGTTGGTCCCGCTTGCTCTGCGAGTTCAACACGTTTGGTCAAGTGTCAAAGCTGTTTTCAAGGCCAGGAGTGGTCCAGAGAGCCGATCTCTGTTCCTCCTGAAGTCGGTGGTCTTGGGTTCACTTCCAGCGAACTTTGGAGTGGTCCGCTGCGATTGTGGAAGCTATCCTCTGTCCTGGGTGCAGACTCAGGTATTCAGGACAAGTGCAAAAATGGCCTAAAATCTGTTCACGAGGCCGCATTTGGCATTGGGGCAGGACTTTAGACACCCGTGGTGTCGTAGGTAATACCACTGCTCTCTAGGCAGCAGACTGGGGTTCAGTTCCCCATCTTGGTAGGCACAACACTACACCAAGACAAGACTCCTAATGAGATATTCACCCTCCTCTAATTAAACAGTGCGACAGCCTGGATAAGAGCATCCAGCAGTAGTGTAAATAAAGGCAAAGGGTCTAAACTAAATAGTGAAAATGTCATATGTTGATGCTTCTGTATAATTTTCAGCTTTTTCTAATGCTGAAAAATGAAGAACTTGTACTAAAAGGGTGCTTAGTAAGAAATATAACGTGTGCTGTTATGCTGTGTGCATTAAACTCCATAGGCTGTAGGTGTTTAGGCCCCATGTCCACCTCAGTCCTACTGCCTCTACGGTCATCTGGAGCACTTACTCAAGCACTTTAAGAGCAATAGGAGCATGAGGTCATTGCTGAGCGAAGCCCATAAGCACACATCACCTTGTCTTGTACAATTACGCTGGAGAGGAGGAAGAACACCACAGGAACTCAAAAGAGAGCTTTAAATCACCGCAATAGGAATGTTTAGGGGGGCCATTTATTTAAGGGCCCACTAGAGTGAGTGGGGTTGGTGCACTGAGAGTGAGGATGAAAGATGAAAGCAAAGCATTTCATTTAAACTGCAGTGACACTGTGCACTCAGGCTCTAATGGTTTTCCATTAGTGTGTGTATGCCAAACTGCTCGAGTGTGCTGGTTCGAGCTCTGCCCTGAGCCGGACTGATTATCTTAGCCGCGTTTTGGAGGCCTCTGCGCGGCCTTACGCGTCACACACACCGTAAACCACTTCAGCTCTTACGAACACACACTCCATCTGCTCTTTATCCCACTTTACATCAGATCCCTGCCAGGAGCCTCCGTTACGATGACAGGGGTATCCCCTACGCCAGACAGCCATGCAATCATCAACCTCTAACTCAACAGCCTCTGCTGCCACGGCCGCTTGGCAAACACTTCCCAGAATTCCCAGAAGTAAAGGAACATAATGACGCATGCACGATACAAGGTATGTGCGAGGTTATAAACGGCTGACAGCCTTCACTAAGAGTTCCTAGAAACATCACTGAACAGCCAACAGATACAGACAGACCTCAGGTTACCATTTAAAGGAAGTTTTACCCAGTTTTTTTAACTCTTTGAGCTAAACTACTACTCTATATTCACCCACCTCTGATTAAACTGTAAGCCAATCCAGGTTTTAGCATCAGCCAAACGTGTAGATAAACGCAAAGGGTGGACACTAAATACTGAAAATACTTGTGGCTCGCCTATAAAACGTTGCCCTTCCTCTGAGAAGGTGCTGGGTTCGAATCCCATCTGAACTGTCATAGCAAAAGTAAGGCATGCTTGTCACCTACATGAAGGTTGTATCCTGAAATCTTCAGAAAAGCCACAAAAAATGCAGTTTGTTTAGAGCAGGGGTGTCTCAAAATACCTGAGGGCTAAAATATTATCCACCAATTTTTCTACATATTATGTTTTCAAAATATCAACACAAAAAAATCTAAGCATTCTGTGAGCTACTCTGTTTCCTATCACTGTATAAAAGATGCATGATGATTCTTTATTATTGGATTGCTCATTCAGAGTAATTTGGATCTGTGAACGCTTAAAACAAATAATTCAACTGTTTAAGAGTAACAATAAAGCATGTCTAATGTATTAAGTATATTGCTATTCAAGTGTTTACTTGTACAAAAATATAATCTGTGAGACAAACTAAATAAATCACCACTTATAACACACTTATAACACACTCTTGAACAGAAGCCATGGGCTAATTAAGGGCGTTTTCACACTAGAGCTTTGTTCCAGACCCAGGACCGCTTGCTCTCCAAGTTCGGTACATTTGGTCAAGTGTCACAGCCATTTTTGATCCTAGGAGTGGTCCAGAGAACCGATCCCTGTTCCTCCTGAAATTGGTGGTCTTGGGTGCGCTGGACTGATTATCTTAGCTGTGTTAAAAACACTGGTGAGCCAAAACTTTAAGACCACAAACAAATGATGTGAATAATGTCATACCAACAGCTCATGCCAAGGTCTCGGACATATTTTAGAGTAAGCATACCGTCGCTGTCCAATGAAAACCACGTATCTCCATTTTTGTTGATTTTTAGTTGTCTACATCATTTCAACACACCAGCTGTCCTTTACATTGTGTGAAAATTTAATGATGAATGGATCAACAGAAATGCTCTAAAATCACTTGGAACAAAATCTCTTTACACTGACTTACATTGAAAGGTAAGAGTGTTTTTGCCTTCTCCTGTAAAGTTAATAGTTTGGAGATACTTGTTTCTCACTGGACAGTGACAAAAAAGTTCTCGTAGTTAAGGTGTTGTTGATGTATCAGCTGCAGACCTGGCACTGTGCCCATGCCGACCCCTGTCCACCATCGAAAGTGCCTACAATAGTCAGGTGAGCGTTGAAACTAGACAGTGCGTCATACAGTGTCATACAGTGTCAGAAACCACATAAGAAAGTCTATTTGAGATAACTTAATAACTCCACACAGTTTAAGGCAAGTATGTGATGATTAAAGCATCAGCTTGTAGTGCTAATTAATGTACATAAGCTTCTGTTATTTGTTAGCTACATTAGCAAAATAGCTGCAAACTGCAGACACCAAACATGACTTAGCTGATCGACTATGTTTCTGGTTAGTCGAGGCGAAAGCGTGTAAATTTGACTTTTCACCAAACTATGCAAACTTCAAATGAAGAGGAGAGATGAAGAAAAGAAGCTGCACGTGCTGAATGTGCACTGAGTGCCAAACAGCCTTAGCGGGGCAGCCTGACCCAGGGAACGGTCAGCACCGCACTAATAAACTCCAGCTGCTCCTCCTCTCCGCGGCAGGGGGGCAGGAGACGCCTTTACCAGAGAACCGCTCTCTACACTAATTAGACTTTTCTTCTGAGCGCTGATTTCACGCTGCTACTTGACCTACATTCAAAGCTTCCTCAACATTTCTTTCTCTCTTCTGATCAACTTTTCTGTAAAGCGGCCAGAAAAGAGGAGAGAACTCAAAGCCTGCCTCAGGTCTGCACGTGTCAACCTGAGACTTTCCTCACACTCCAGCCTCATTATTCACTTATTAACTTTAAAATGTGTTATTCAATAACTGTATGCGAGTTATGGGAGTGAGGAATTGAAGTGTGGACCCCCGTGTACATCTGAGGGTCCCTTCATATGTAAAGGGTTAAGAGCAAAAACATGATCACGCAAAACGCAAAGGCTTTAAACCCTCAAACTGCAGGACTTTTTATTCAGTCATTAATCTTAGGAGTTATTTCTCAGTAACTACTAAACATTCTATAGGAACTACTAATATTTTTCAGTAACTACTAAAGATTTAGTACTTTAAATATTTCAGTGACTAAAATAAGTAAGCACTATTCATTTTTTAGTTACTACTAAACCGCTTTAAATCATTCAGTAACTATATATGCTTTATTCAGTATCTACTACGAAATCATTCAGCAACTGTCATATAACAGTAAATATTATTCATTAAAATACTATAAATGTTGCTAACTTATATAAATTATTAAATAATTACTATAAAATATTATATTCAGTAACTACTGTAACTCGTTCAGTAACTACTGCAGAATACTGTGCATTATTCAGTACCTATTGTAAGTTATTCAGTAACTACCATAAATGACTTAATAACTATGATTAACTATTTAGTAACTAATAAAAAGATTCAGTAATTAGTATGAATTATTCACTATTATTAAAATGATTTTGTAACTACTATAAACTAAATTCAATAGCTATAATAAAGTATTCAGTAAACACTAACATGATTCAACAACTATTTTAAATGATTCCATAACTATTATACATTATTCAGTAACTAAATTATTCTACAAATTATTTAATAATTATTCAGTAACTACCACAAATTATTTAGTAATTATTCAGTAACTACCACAAATTATTTAGTAATTATTTAGTAACTTCTACTGTTAATTATTCAATAACTCATGTAAATTATTCAATAACTACTACAAAATCATCAGTAAATATCAGTAACTATATTTATCCATAACTACCATGAAGCTACTATGTAAGTAATGCAGTTATAAGAGTAAGGATTTGAAATATGGAGCCATGTTGGACCTGGTAGTGTAAGAGGTTAATGTAGGTGTGAAGGGGTCAATCACATGAGTGGACATAAATCGCTGATCCTCAATCAGGCACATTCAATTAATTTCACAGCTTGTCAGCACCTACTACTGCTCCGTGTGTGTGTGTGTGTGTGTGTGTGTGTGTGTGTATGTGTGTGTGTGTGTGTGTATGTATGAACAGAAGCATATGATTTCTATCAGAGAGCAGAACTCTCCTCTTCACCTCCTCCAAAGAAGCGTTGGCACTCCGCCAGCTACCGGCTCTGAGAGGTGCTCCATTTTAACGGCCCACCCCTCTCTCTCTCCGTCCCATCAGAGCATGACTCTCTCTCTCTCTCTCTCTCTCTCTCTCTCTCTGTCTCACTCTCTCTCTCTCTCGTTCTGCTTGATTATGTCACTCACCGCTTGCCACTCTCCCTGACTCCATCTGTAATGTGCGGGACAGTCCTCCAGTCGGCAGGTTTGGGTGGGCAGTGGGCGGGGGGACCGGGAGCACTCTGAGTCCGGCGTCCTGTGCTGATCTCCAATCTGACAATAAACCTCTCTCCGCTGCACGCCGGCACCACACGAGGCTGAACACTGCCAGACAGGGTAAGACATCAGCATGTTTATGCAATTAAACCTTTAAAATGTAGGCCTATTATTCAGTAATTACTCATTAATAAATGAGGATGTGTAGATCTGGTAGCTGGTACAAATCATGAAGCTGATTTGTAAGTTCTATGAGAGCGAGCAGTAGACGTTTTGAATCACCCACTTTACATGGCAGAAGTGTAGAGTAAAAAACGGCTCTGAGGGCAGAACTATATTAATGGACACGTCGGCAAAGTTGTAAAAGCATTAAAAAGACAAAGTAAAATATGTGTTACTCCCAGAAAAGTATAAAGATCACCAGTAAAACATTGTGGCTACATGATATAATGAATATGATGATTGTTTAACACTTAGAATTTGCAGTTATTGTCAATAACAAAAGCATAATGTTATTTTATATTAATTATTTTATAACAAGATGCCCAATTTCAGTGAAGGCTTTCAATCGATAGTAAATTTGTGTTTTTAACTTAGATATGTCAGAATATTTAATGAGATATTTTATCATGATTCAACTGAATGAAAATGAAACGTGAAATGAAAAGTAATATATCGTTGTTTTTGGAACAAAACCTTGTATCTCCAAAATGGTAACTTTACAGGAGAAGGAAAAAACATACTTTACTTTTAATGTAAGTCAATGGAACCAGACTTTTTTACAAGTAATTCTGGGTCATTTCTTTTGGTCCATTCATCATGAAATTTACACATAATTTAAAGGGCAACAGGAATTTTCAAGTTATGTCAAAAACTGAAAAACGGAGATTATAATTCTATATTTAGATATACAATTATCTATATTAGAACTCCAGAATTCAAAGAGTCTAAACTACTAAAAATATTATTTTGTTATTATTTTATTATTTCTAAAAATAAAAATGTTATTCCATTCTTTTTACATACACAATTGTCACATTACAGCAATGATTACTGCATATTTCTTTAAATAGGTGTTATCATGTTCTTAAAGTTTCAGAACTTCAGTAATGTTATGTTATTGAAAACATTTCAGCAGTTTTGCCTCTTTTAGAAGTGTTTACATGGGCATTCCAACATTTCTGCATAATTAAATGGTTAAGATGTAAACACAGTTGTTCAGAGTGGTTTGATGCGAAAAGCTTTGTTTTAGAGAAACAAGTCAGAATTGTCCACAGTGGTGGTGATAGGAACCGGACGTCCAAGGTGTTATGCTGAAGAGTTTAATGCCTTTAACAGCTCCCTTATAGAAAGTTATTACATGAAATGTTTACGAAGATGTTGCCTGACACCTGAAACATAGTTCTGTGATAAGATTTTGGCATTAAACTTTTATATATCGCTGTTGTCGGAAGAAAACCTTGTATCTCCAAAATGGTAACTTTACAGGAGAAGGAAAGAACCTACTTTATTTTTAATGGAAGCCAATGGAGCATCATTTTTCCAAGTCATTTTGGGTCATTTTTTTAGTCCATTCATCATGAAATTTACATATAATGTAAAGAGTAACAGGCATTTTCAAAATATGTCAAAAACTGAAAAAGGTCAAAGATGGACAAACAAGGTTGCGGAAGGGTACATGGAGGTTGTTAGTTAGTTAGTTCCCAAAGACAACATTTTTTCCCACATTTACCACTATTTTACTCTTATCAGCATATCGTCGATGTTAGAAACAAAACTTTTTAATCTTTTCACACCATTTGAAAGCTCCAGCTGCCCTTTACATTCTGTGAAGGATCAACACAAATGGTCCAAAATAGCTTGGAATAAAATATTTTTACATTAACTTACATTAAAGCTTAAAAAGGCTTTTTCCTTCTCCTGAAAAGTTACCATTTTGGAGATATGAGCACCAATATAAACATCTAAACATTACCATTAACATCAGCTATAAAAATTTCAGACATGTGTTGGTTCACTGGTCATTTTGGATAGTAAATAAAATGTATTTGTGCTGTAGACATCATGACCCCTGGTTCCTATCACCTCCGCTGTAAAGAAATCTGAGTCAGTAGTGTCTCTAGAATGGACCATTTCACGTCAAACCAGTCTGAATGACTTTGTTTACATCTCAACAACTGAATTACCTTCTGATTTTAAAAAATCAGTGGAATTCCCCTTTAACACAATCTAATGGAAGCATTTCGAATCCCACTTAGGAAGCACTGTGTTATGTAGGCCAGTTCTTAACATACACAAGTGACTCCCGTTATGTGACTGGTTGTCTGGTAGTTGTGAGGTGGCCATGGTGCTGTTTCAGCAACTCTTGACTGAGGTTTTAAACAAGAAAAAAAACAGGTTGTGCCTCTTTAATTGATCTTGAGGATTCTCTGAAGGCTGAAGCAATAATGATGTTATCCGCTTTGTTCTTTGAAATATGACAGCGGAAAATGTATAATTCTTGATTGTGGTTTAACACATTAAATAAATACGACTATCATCTCTGCTCTTACGCTATAGTCAGTCACTGCTGCTCTGAGTACAGTAATAATCCCAATCTGCCTTAAAATGAACTATTTAAAGGGAATTTGACTGATGATTCAAAATGTCTGCATAATTCAATCTTTAAGATGTAAACAAAGTCATTCAGAGTGGTTTGGTGTGAAACCACTCCATTCTAGAGAAACTTACCACTTCAGAATTGTTCACAGTGGTGATGATAGGAACCAACGGTCTCGATGTCTGCACTGCAAACTAGCTATTTTCTTTTCTATCCAACATCAACAGTGAGCCTGTGTCTCTCCTCAGATTTCATATCAAATGATCATTGAATGAAAATAGTGGTAAAACATGTTTTCTTTTGGCTTTGCAAAGCCATGCAGGTACCTCTCCGCCATGAATAGCTTTAAGAAATATGTTTAAGGCCTAAAAATCTACTCAAAACTATTGTAAAACGTCATCTCAGGCATCAGGCAGCGTACTCATAACCATCTAGTGTAATATCTTTCTGTGAGGGAGCTTTCAGAGGCATTAAACTCTTCAGACGTCTGGTTCCTATCACCACCGCTGTGAACGATTCTGACTCTGCAGGCTTCTCTAGAACAGAGAATTCACATCTACCTACTCTGAATGACTGTCTACATTGGTGGTCACCAACCCTCCTTCTTGAGATCTACTTTGCTGCAGGTTTCACCCCCAACCCAAATCTAACACCTCGTTCGGCTAATCAAGAACTTCTGAGGGCAATAATTATATGGATCAGGTGGGGTCCAGGTGGGGGTTGCGGCTAAAGTTTGCAGGAAATCTGCAGGAGCGAGACTGGTGACTTAACTGAATTGTACAGTAAATTTGGAAAAAAAATCTGTGCCCTTTAATACGCTATAATGTCCAAAAGTTTGTAGACACCTGCTCTTCCAGCATTTCTTCTGAAATGAAGGGTATTAACAGTGAGTTTGTCCTCCTTGGCTGCAGTAACAGCCTCTACTATTCTAGGAAGGCTTTACACAGCAGGTTCTAACACTGCTGTGAGAATCTGACTGCATTCAGCCACAAGAGCATTAGTGAAGTCAGGTACTGATGTTGGACGATCAGTTCTGGATTACTCCAACTCATTCCAAAGGTACTGGATGGAGCTCTATCATTCCAGAGAACGCAGTTCCACTGTTCCCCAGCCTAATGCTGGGGGGCTTTATACCCCTCTAGCTGATGCTTAGCATTGAGCATTTTGACCTAAGGACCACGTGCAGCATCCCAGTCTATTGACAATGCTTTTCTAAGGAGATTATACAAGCTATGACTGTGCAACTGAATGCATGCAGCAATAGGTGCACCTTAAAGTAGCTGAATTCACTTAATAGAAGAGGTTTCTGGGTATGTTTGGATATATAGTGTTGCAGGTAGAGCAATTTCTTGATATTTTATGTCAACATTTTATGTAACCTCATTGAGGACTGTGTAAAAGTCAGAGACCACTCTTCATTTACTTATTTTTTCTAGTCAAAACAGACATTAAGTAACAGTTATTCATTTTTCAGCACCAGGAAAAGAAATTACACAGAAGCTTCAACAACTAAATACAAATCAGAATTAGATTTTTAGGTAAAAATAAAATAATCCTCCTTTGCAGTAAAATAAAGCTCTGCTGATCATTCAACACAGTTTCAACAATAAATGGTCTTAAACACTGGAGTTAACGTACAACTGCCAATTCACAAGCCTGAAGGTTAGTGCGCAGACCGCTGGTCACCATAGCAACACAGACAACAATCCCACCTAGCTAGTAACTAAACGAAACTGCAAAGAGAAAGATTTAAGACAAACATTGATAATTTGGAGACGAATGGACTTCTTTGCATTCATAATCACTCCAGCTGGTTACCTGATATGTTTAATCTGCAACAAGATTCTATGAAACATGAAAAAATCGTGAAGCTGTAGTCAGCTTCTCATTCGCCAGCTTCTTGGGAATTTTTCCGTTCCACCTTAAATAGTGCAATATTTACATTCTGGCGCCTCAGGCACCATTTAATGTGGATCAGGAAAAATTGAACAAGGAGCTGGAATGAGAAGCCTCATAAAAAATCAAACATTGAGAGACATTTTACAAGGAACTGTTCCACTTTTGAGAAAAAGTTTCCTGCTGGAGATGCGAGAAAAGCGGCTATAGCTGAGCTAAAGCTTAAAGCATAGTAAAGTAAGTCTGTGTTTTCATGTATATTATATTTTTAGCCTATACTAGTTCATTAGCACATACTGAGACATATTTACAGCAAAGATGGTAAAATGGACATAATATGTTGTGGCTCCCAAGGTGGTTTGATTTTTGTTGAAAGGACAAAATGGCTCTTCTTAACATTGGGTTGAGACCCCTGCAATAGTAGACTTGGTGAAGGATGTGTCCTCAGAAGACACATCCTTCACCAAGTGTTGACTGTTCGAATACTCACTCGCAGAAGTCAGATTCATCTGCTTATGGGGCTCCAATGTTCTTCCACATGTTGCATGCAATTACATATTTCCACCAGCGGGGTCTCCAAATCCCCAAATCCTACATAGTGTTGCTTTAACGG